CTGCATCCAATAACGGGGGGAGATTCTCCCCGGCTCTCTTCTTGTCATTAATGTCTTTGTAAAAACTTTTTTTGTTGTCTTTAACGACAGCGGCCAGGTTGCGTTCTAGCTGGGCTTTTGCCTTTCTCATTTCCTCTCTGCACGACCTAACGAGATCCCTGTACTCTTATTGAGTCGCCTGCCCCTTCTTCCACAAGCGATAAACTCTCCTTTTTTCCTGAGTCCCAGCAAAAGCTCCCCGTTCAGCCAGGCCGGTCGTCTTCCCCGCCCGTTCTTCTTGCGGCGTACAGGGACAGCCTGCTCCTGTGCCTTTAAGACTTCCTTCTTGAAGATCGTCCAGCCTTCCTGGACCCCTTTGCCCTTCAGGATGGTCTCCCAAGGGACTCTCTCAACCAGCGTCCTGAACAGGCCAAAGTCCGCCCTCCGGAAGTCCATGGTAGCAATTTTGCTGCCTCCCCTCCTTACTTCACCGAGAATTGAGAATTCTACCATGTCATGGTCGCTAAGCCCAAGATGGCCAATGTTCCAGTGATGCTCAAAAAAATTGATTTTTTTTTTACTCTTACTATGAGGGTACATATAAAAAAAAATTATTATTTTTTTTAATATTACTATGAGGGTACATACTCTAAAATCTATAATGCTGTTGTATTCCCCTGGAAAAGTCATCTACTATACGCCTTGTTCGTAAATGCACAGTGGAGGGGTAAGAGCGCAAGGACCGACAATATCTAAGAGCTAAAATTTCTTCAAAGGGAAAATGGGAAAGAATTAGGACTATGGCTTGTGTCTACACTTCCTATGCATGGATTTCAAACTGACAAAGCATTCTAGAGGATGCTAGAGGACTCTGTAACTAATCAGATGGTATGGATCCAACAATTCACTTGTACAAGAAGTAAACAAATTCCTCTTGCAGCTGCCTGAGGCAAGTGAATTTTGGTACTGCTTCCAAAATGGACCAAATCATAGAATCGTGATGAAGTAATTTAACTTGGAAGCAGCTTCCGGAGGTCATCTGGTCCAGATCATGGCACAAGGCAGGGCCAACTTAGATCAGGTTGTTCAGGGCCTTGTCCAGTCATGTTTTGAATATCTCCAAGGGCAGTGATTCAGCAGCCCGTTCCAATGTTTGCCCTCACCATGAAGTTTTTTTCCTCGTATCTATTCAGAATTTGCAGCTCTCGTGCATTTTCTATTGTCTTTTCATTGTGCACCTCCAAGAAGAGTCCGACTTAATCTTTTCTGTTCCCTTTCCTTTAGGTAGTCAAAGACAGCAGTTAGATCCCTCCTTGACTTTCTCTGCAGCCCCGTAGTCCTCTTGCCACCACTGAACTGATTCCAGTAAGTCAATGTGGTGGGCTGGAGAGCCCAAAGAAGCACTCTAGATACTGTCACTCTCACAAGTGCTAAAAAGGGGGAACAATCACATCCCTTAACCTGCAGGCTTCACTGTTAAGCTCCAGACTCCTATCAATTTTCTACCCACCTTAGAGTCCATCTGTCTGAGTCCTATTATTCCAATTTGTCTATAAAGATACTAAGGAAACCTTGCTGAAAGCCTCGCTAAAGTCAAGGTAAACTATGACTAAACTCTCCCCTAGTTCATGGAGCCAGTCACTGCATCACAGAAGGCAATAAAGTTTGTCAGTCCCTGGTAAATTCCTGCCAGCTATTCTCAATCTCCTTCTTGTTCTTCATGGGCCTGGGCATGGTTTCCAGGAAAATTTGCTCCATAAACTTACTGAGAACTGAGGTTAGACTGAAGACGGGTGTGATGTTTGCCTTTTTCCTGTCATCAGGAACTTCCCTTGATGGACGTG